TTTTTCTTGTTTAGTGAGGTGAGCCCGTATTGCGATGAATTTTCCTCTTAGGACTGCTTTTGCTGCATCCCAAATGATTTGGTATGTAGTGTTCTCATTTTCATTTGTCTCCAGATAATATTTGATTTCTTCTTTAATTTCTTCAATGATCCATTGTTTGTTCAGAAGCGTGTTGTTTAGTATCCACATTTTTGCACCTTTCTCTGCTTTTTTCTTGTAGTTGATTTCTAGTTTAATAGCATTATGATCAGAAAAGATGCTTGATATTATTTCAACTCTCTTGTATCTATTGATGTTTGCTTTGTTTCCCAAAATATGGTCAATCCTTGAGAATGTTCCATATGCACTTGAGAAGAATGTGTAACCTGCTGTTTTTTGGATGAAGTGTTCTATATATGTCTATTAAGTCCATCTGGTCTAATTTTTCATTTAATTCTATTATTTCCTTGTTGATTTTCTGCCTGGATGTTCTGTCCATTGGTGTTAATGGTGTGTTGAGGTCCCCTACTATTATTGTATTGTTGTTGATGTCTTCTTTTAGTTCTATTAAGAGTTGCTTTACAAATTTTGGTGCTCCTGTGTTGGGTGCGTATATATTTATAAGTGTTATGTCTTCTTGGTGGAGAGTCCCTTTTATCATTATATACTGTCCCTCTTTGTCTTTCTTTATCTGTTTTGCTTTGAAATCTACCTTGTCTGATATTGGTATAGCGACACCTGCTTTCTTTTGTTCATTATTAGCTTGGAGTATTGTTCTCCATCCCTTCACTCTGAGTCTGTGTTTGTCTTTGGGGCTGAGGTGTGTTTCCTGGAGGCAGCATCATGTTGGGTCTTGTTCTTTGATCCATCCTGCCACTCTGTGTCTTTTGATTGTGGAGTTCAATCCATTTACATTTAGAGTGATTATTGAGACATGGGGGCCTACCACTACCATTTTGTGTCTTGTTTTCCGGTTTTCTTCAATTTCCTTTGTTTCTCGTCCCATGGTTTAATCTGTTCTGATGAAGAGCTGCTACTCTCTGTTGTTGTCCTTCTACTTATCTCCTCTGCTCTTGGTTTTGTAACCCCTTTCCTTTTTTGGATTTTTCAGGAATGAGGGTTTTCCTGAGGATTTCCTGAAGAGGAGGTTTTGTGGCAATGAACTCCCTTAATTTTTGTTTATCTGGGAAAGTTTTTATTTCTCCATCATATTTGAAGGATATTTTCGCTGGGTAGAGAATTCTCAGTTGTAGATTTTTGTCCTTCAGATTTTTGAATATATCATTCCACTCTCTTCTAGCCTGTAAAGTTTCTGCTGAGAAATCTGCTGATAGCCTGATGGGGGTTCCTTTGTAGGTTAGTTTCTTTTGCCTGGCTGTCCTTAGTATTTTCTCCTTGTCGTTGACTTTTGCTAGCTTCACTACTATATGCCGTGGAGTTGGTCTTCTTGCATTGATAAAGTTTGGAGATCTATTGGCTTCTGTCACCTGAAGATCCATCTCTCTCACCAGATTTGGGAAGTTCTCAGCCATTATTTCTTTGAATAGGCTTTCTGCCCCTTTCTCCTTCTCTTCTCCCTCTGGTATACCTATAATCCTTACGTTGCATCTCCTAATTGTGTCTGATAATTCTCGGAGAGTTTCTTCGTTTCTTTTTAGTCTTACTTCTCTCTCCTCCTCTGCCTGCAGCAATTCTATATTGCCATCTTCCAAACTGCTAATTCTTTCCTCCATATTATCAGCCCTACTGTTCAGTGCATCTAGATTTTTCTTAATCTCCTCTATTGTGTTCTTCATTTCCAATATTTCTGTTTGGTTCTTCTTTATCGTATCAAACTCTTTTGTGACATAGCTCCTGAACTTGTTGAGTTGTCGGTCAGAATTCTCTCTTAACTCATTGAGTATTTTAATGATGGCTGTTTTGAAGTCATCATCATTTAGGTTATATATCTCATTTTCTTTGGGATTGTTTTCTGTGTATTTGTTATCTTCCTTCTGTTCTGGAGATTTAATGTATTTTTTCATATTGCTTGATGTTGTTGATTTGTGCCTCTGCATGGAGATAGAGTTTAGTTGCTCCTTTCACTTGTTTCTGCTGCTGCGGTGGGGGAGCAGCTGTTTATACTGCACCAACCAGGAACCCTATCCGCAGTTGCTAACTGGGCCTGGGCCCCTCCTCGTAGTCACAGTGGTGCTTTGGATTCCCTCCTCTGCCGTGGGGGCCATCACAGGGGGGCTTCAGGCTGCTGGTGCCTACTGTTGCAGCCCACCTAGACATGCTCCCTCCTTGGGGTCTGCAACAGTGTTATGGGCTTTTCCAGCGGCCAGGGGTGGGATCACTTATATTTGTTCCTCCGTCACTGTCGGGACCCACAAAATCTCACGTATCCACTATGGGTCGCAGGAGAGCTATTGGCATCTTCTACAGTCTGTGGTTAGTTCACCTAGCTATACTACTTTTGTCCCGGGGTCTTCCAGCCTTGTGGCTGCCGGATGGGTGCTTTCTACTGGTGCTGTGCAGAGGCTTTCCCTGAGGCTGCTGTAAGCCTGTAGGGTTTCCCCCTAGGCTACGGAGCTGAGTCTCTGGAACTCCCACCAGCCCCAGTCCTGTTCCCCAGGAACTCGGGGAGCCCTTTGCCCTGTCTTGGGGGATAGCCGGAGATCCTCATTTCAGTGGTAGCTGGTCAGCTGCTGCCCTGCCTGATATTCTCCTCTCCGGGACCCTCCCGGTATTGTGGATGCTGGGCGTTGCCCCTCCGCTAATAGCAGACAGAGAGTTTTGTCTGCTGCCCGGGCAGAACTCTGGAGCTTCCCCTCCAGGCCGTGGAGCCGGCCTCTGGAGCTTCACCCAGCCCTGACTCACATTTTTAAAAGATCCCTCTGGCTACTGACCTGAGAATAAACTGTAGGTGGGCAAAGGGAGAAGCTGGGGACCTTTGAAGAAGCGGTGGCCCTGGTCCAGGTGAAAGATGGTGGAGGCTTGTAGCAGGATGGGCAGTGGAGGTGGAGGAGGTGAGAGGTGGTCAGATCTGGGATACACTTAAGGTGTGGGAGAGCTGTTCCATTTCTCTTTGCTCCGAGATGTCAAGCACACTGTGTTGAGCATGCAGCATGTGGAATTACTCTTGATTTTTTTGTTTCATTGAGAATTTTCCCACTGCCTGCTGGCACTCAGGCAGCAGACTTCTCAGTTCCTCTTAGGTTCCTTTGGATAACCAAGATTGTGCCTCTACTTCACATTTCCTTCTCCTGATTGTCCCTGTCTTCTGAAAGGAGACGGCCAATTTGCTCCATCATTATGCATCTCTACCTCTTATCCAAAGGCCTCAGATTAGTGTTTTCTCTAGTGCTTGTATGGTATTTTCTTGTTTCTTTGTCATTGTCTTAGCAATACAATAAAATATCACCTTTTCCCTCGGATTTTTAGTTATTATGAATGCCAGCTTGGTTAATCACACTGATTAGCTTCAGAACTACTAGTGAACATACAGAATGGTATTAGGAATTCCCAAACCATGTCTTCAGCAAGTTGTGTGTGGAATACGTAATTGTCTAGCACTGGGGTCAGTGCCTCTCACCGAATTTTTCCAATCGGCTAGCTCCGCAGAATTCCTCTGTGTCCTCATACCACTCACCGCCTTCTATGAATCAGATTTTCTGATTAGAATCTTGGCTTGCTCTCTGAGTGATCTTGGACACGTTTCATAACCTCTCTGTGCCTCAGAGTCTTCAACTGGTAGATAAGACTAAAACATCTCACACCAAGACTTATCTCCATTCACGGCACATAATAAGCATTCAGTAAATATTCCAGCTATTCTTATCTTTGTTGTTGTTGTTAGACTTATAGTTCAAGACAATTATGGTAGATCAGAAAAACATTGCCACATTCTTCCTGTTGAGAGTGGAGCCTACTTCGCTATTGAGAGTGAGTCTATTTCCTTTTTTTTTTCCGAGGAAGACTGGCCCTAAGCTCTCATCCATGCCCATCTTCCTCTACTTTATATGTAGGATGCCTACCACAGCATGGCTTGCCAAGTGGTGCCATATCTGCACCCAGGATTGGAACCAGTGAACCCCGGGCCGCTGAAGCAGAACGTGTGCACTTAACCGTTGCATCACCAGACCGGCCCAAGAGTGAGTCTATTTCTTGATTTCTTGAATCAAGTTTGGTCTCGGGTCTTACCTTGAGAAAAAGAATGTGGTGAAAGGAACACTGTGCCAGTTCTGGAGTCTAGAGCTCAAGTGGCCTTCAGCCTCCACCCTCCCTCTTGGAATGTAAGCAAGTTGATCTAGCCTATTGGAGGATGAGAGGGCATGTGGAGGAGAACTGAGATGCCCAGCCAACAGCCAGCACTGACCACCAGAAGAATGATCAGGCCATCCAGTGACATGACAAGGGATGCAGGGTGGGGAGAGGAAGTGATCCTTCCAGATGGGTATATTTTATCACTGACATCATTCAGAATTGCCAGTGCATAGTGATAATAAAAGTAGCATTATTACTAACTTAAAAATATCTACCATTAATTCACTCTTTAGAGCCCGCACCTGAGGTGAAGGTCTCTAACCACCCCTTCCCTTTTAGGTGACTAAGAGGAGAACTGAGGCTCCCCAGCTGACAGCTAGCACCACTGACAGACACATCGGTGAGAACAACTTGGGCCTTTCAGCTCAGTTTACATTCCAGCTGACTGAGGCCACACGAGTGAGCCCAGGCAGACCAGCTGAGAAACCACCTGGCCAACCCTCAGAATCACAAGAAATAATAAATTGTTGTTGTTTAAAGCTATTATTTTGTGGGGCTCTCTTATGTTGCAATTGATAATGCAAATAACAATAAATTACCCAAATACAGCTTCTGTCTAGATCACAGCTTGCTCTAATCTATTCCAGGTTTTCCTCTATGTAGATGTGGTTTAAACGTGAGGCAAGAACTCTTCAGTGTGACCCTGCTTCACCAGGTCAGAAAATATCTACTCTGAGAACCTGGACATCTAAGATGTGGATACTTCACGTCTCTCACATTGTGGCCTCCTGCAGGAAGCAGGTGTCTTTGTACCAGGGCAGATGTCTATAGACCAGAAAGGGTATTTTTGTTTGGGGATCTGTCACTGTGAGAGGCCGGCTCAAGTGCTGCTGGCAGTAATACACCCCAAAGTCTTTAGGTTCCAGTCCATGGATGGTGAGGGAGAAGACAGAGCCAGAACCACTTCCTCGGAACCTGGATGGGGTTCCCTCAGCCCGAGCAGAAGCCCCAAAGATGAGGAGCCTGGGAGCTTCATTGGGTTTCTGTTGGTACCAGGCCATAGAGGTACCTACCTCTATGCTGCTTCTGCAGGTGATGGAGATAAAGCTGCCCTGAGATGCTGCCAGGGTCTCTGGAGACTGAGTCAGGATAATCTGCCCCCTGCATCCTGCAAGCACATGCCATCCAGGCAACACAATGCATTACTTCTCTTGAAGGTTTCAAGGAAACATTGTTCCTTAGTAGAACCATGTTTCTTAGAAGAACCATGTCATGCTTCAACGTGACAGAAATTAGAAATCTAGTGCCCCTGGTCCTTTCCACCTTTGTCTGTGTCCAAGAATCCACATAGAAATGGCTGTCGACGTGTCCTCAGGCCCAAAGCAAGCTAAGGAAGGTAATACAACATGGCACAGCCTCATCCTGAGGAGCCAAGGGATGAGCCCAGTCCTTAGTCTAAATGGGACTGGTGAATCTCTAAAGAGAAGGTTGACATGGGGTGTGAGCATGGACAGAGAGATCCATGGGCCTCAGGGGGCACAGGACAAGTTCAAGACTGTATATGTCTCTGCCTCCTTGTCAGCCTTGAAGGATCTCCCTCACTTTCTAAGAGCCAAATCAAAATAACTCTACATATTGCACTGTAATTTCCAAAACCCATTTGAGTGCATGATCTCTGTGTCAAGGGCTAAGGTTCCAGCTCAGGATCTGCAGTGGAAACATGCTTACCCTGAAAACCCATCACCAGGAGACAGAGGAGCTGGGCCTGGAAGCTCATCTTGGAGTATCCCCGGAATCTGCTACTTCTGGAACAAAAAGCAAGAGGGATGGGGCTGGGCAGGGAGTTAACTGTCAGGGCTGCTCTGGAATTGAGGCCTCTGCCCCAGGGTTAAATAAGCACAAGTTTCCTTGGAGTCGATTTGCATGTCTGATGGCCTGACGAGGGCTCTTCTCTGGTGCCCTCTCAGGGCCGGCAGGCTCACTCCACCTGCAGCTAGAGGAGGAGGTGGAGGTGATGGAGGTGCCTCTGCTCCCACAGACACTAAGGCTGGATTGAGTGGGACCAGTCAGGCTGCCTCATTTACAGGGTTCCTCTCCAGAGGCTGGGACCAAGGTCACCCTAGAGACAACCAGATGCCTGTAGAGTGCTCATTCAAGCATCTATTCTTACAGAAATGAGGGCTTGTTCCGCTTTCTGCTGTAACTAGATGCCAAGTTAACCAGTGATCAAAGCCCAAACCGGGCAATTATTTATCACAGGAGAGTCAAGCCAACCTGTCTTCATCACAGAGAACATAGTTCCAAATACACACAACCACCACCAAAAAAGACTGGTAATTAAAATTAAGTTGTGGTTGAAAGAAATAGTTCATATGAGAAGCCAGCTGCCTACAGAGAGAGAATATGGGCACACATTGCTGACTGGACAATGCAATAGCATGTCCAGCCCAGTCTCAGGAAAAGGGATGGTGCTCTGCTGCCCTCGGACACCACAGCTGTGACCCTTGCCTTCTCTCTTGTGTTTTGGAAGCTGGACCATCCCAGGGTCTCAGCCCAGGTCTTCTGCACTGTTTTGCAGCCTGTCAAGGCAAGGTTATAGCTTTGGAGTTCCCATGGTTGGGACACAGAGAGGACGATGGGGCTGAAGTTCTTGGGGACCTCCTGGGATGTCAGGAAGCTCTTTTCAGTGTCCTCCTGGCTGCCTCCATGAATCATGCCTGTCTGTCTGTTTCAACCTGGTCCCCTTCTTTCTGTCTAGCTGTATGTCGGCAGCCACCCAAAGGGGGACCCTGTCAGTTACCATAAGGGGCAAACAGAACGCTGCAGGGTAGTGAGGAGGTGGACAAGTCCCCAGGGGCAGGAAACAGATCTGTGGCCATCCTGACTGTTTTGACTTTAGAGCCTACATGTGTCCAGAGAACCTGAGACCTGGAAAAACAAGAGGGCTGAGTCACCTGACTCCTGCTGCCTTTTGAATCTCCCAGAAATTTAAGGAGGCATTCAGAAATCAAATGTTCAGGGGCTGGCCTGGTGGCACAGCAGTTGAGTGCCCATGTTCCGCTTCTCAGTGGCCCGGGGTTCGCCGGTTCGGATCCCGGGTGCAGACATGGCACCGCTTGGCACCCCATGCTGTGGCAGGCATCCCACATATAAAGCAGAGGAAGATGGGCATGGATGTTAGCTCAGGGCCAGGCTTCCTCAGCAAAAAGAGGAGGACTGTCAGTAGTTAGCTGAGGGCTAATCTTCCTCAAAAAAAGACAAAACAAAAAAAAAAGAAATCGAATATTCTTTCCTCACTGGAGGTAAAAACTTTTTGGCTTTACAAAGGAATATTTCATGATCAAGAAAAGGAATCCGACATGTTTAAAATGAAAACAAGGAGCCTAATATGCTTAGAGATGAAGGTGAGTCTTTATGTGGCCCTGTGTGGTCTTGGAGGTGGCAGCTCATAGGATGCCACCCTGATCTCCAGAGAACAGCCCCATGCAGGTGCCAGAGCCTCAAAGCAGAGAGGGCCAACATCAAGCTGCAGACAGACAGATTTGACAGCTTCCTCCAGACCTACTAGTGGGCAGCAAGAAACCAGCTCCAGACCCAGCACTGCTGATCCAGGTTGGGTGGGACCAGGACGTGCATGTTGTGTTGTGGGTGGTGGAACCAAGCTCATCACTCTAAGAGCATCAGCCCTGCAGGGAGATGGGCTGGCCCTCGAGGGAGACAGGAGCAGAGGTTGAAGGCTGGGTTTGCACAAAGTGTCTGTGACCTAGTGAAAGCCCTTCAATAGTCATCCCCTTCTTGAAGGGAGATGCCCTGCCCATGGGAAACTGAGTCAACCATCTAACCTTAGAAATTCCTAAGCATCCAAAGTACAGTCAGCCTTTCCCTAAAGTTGGGCAAAGTCTAGAAAACAGAGGTATAAGGAAAGAAGCTCAGTCTGATCCTCAGAGTGTGGTGTGGTTGTTGTAGGTCTTCCCCGACCCCGGCTGAGGGGGAGGAGGAAAGAAAGGTCCTGTGATGCTGTAGGAGATGGGAAAGGAGCATCAGCAGTGAGCACTGCCCACCCTCTGTCTGAAAAAGGTAATACTCTTCCCCACTTCGTTCCCCTGAAAATCCTGTTTTCTCATTAAAACCGCTCCTCTAGCAGCACCTTTTCTGATCAGTTTTCCTGACTCTCTCACTCGGTACCCTCTTGCCTCCACACTCTCATCTTGTTTTTGCAGAACCACAGCCCATCTCAATACACTGTAATTATGTATGTATTCATGAGTGTGTAATCACCTATGTATTGAAGGGTCTATCTTCCCCAATAGACAGTGACTTCCTTGAAGGCAAGGACTAAAGATTTCAATATTTGTATTCATAGGGCCAAAGGCCAATAACCCTGTCCTGGGTGAGGAAGTCTCCACCAGCATGGACAGGCCAGTGGCTCCTGTCTTTCTCCAAAGCTACCCTCTCCCATTCATGGAGCAGGAGGGAGGGTGAGGGAGAAACTCCTGTAGAAGGGGCGTTTTCAGTCCACAGGCTAAACTCTCCTGGTGATGTGGCTCCCGGGGTGTCTGCTGACTTGGAGATCATGTCTTACCGGGAGCCCTGGGTTCTTGGCTGAGCACCTGAGAGACTGGGGCACACAGAGCCTCCCTGGGCACCACTGACCTGCTTCATCCCTGTAATTTGTTAGTAAGACAGTTGCCCGCATCCCTGCAACCTGCCCGGGAGAGTACAGATGCATGAATTAGGTGGGAAAACTGATCTTCTCAACTAATAGCCCACAGCAATAGCTCAGGTCAAGTGGTTCCACTTTCCCTGCTGCTGAGCCAGGCTGGGATGCCCAGGGCCAAGATAGAGATGTAAGATACAAAGGGTGCAAATCTTTGTCCAGGTTTCAACCGGATCCAAGATATTTTTCCATGTACGTCAGCGCTGGCTTGACAGGAAATGGTGATACTCTCTCCTGGAGACTCAGACAGAGAGGCTGGTGTCTGGGTCAGATGATGTCCCCACTCACTGCTAAAGAGAAAAAGGGAAAAGTGACATTTATGGTGCATGGCAGGGGGCACCCCCAGACCAGCAGCCACCCTCGCTTAGGAAGAGAGGGTTTATGAAACTGGCCTCTCCCCAGGGCCTCCCCGTGACATGTTCCCCAGAAAGTCAGGCTCCAGAGGAGCTGCACCTGAGCCCCCGAAAACCTGCTGGTAGGGAGTGTTCAGAGCCTGGGAGTGCATCATCGGCCCTACAGAGACCGGGGCTAGGGTGATGGAGATGGGGGATGGGAGCATGCAAAAAAGAATCTCCAAGGAAGGGATTCGGGCAGTCCTGTGGGGATTCTGACCTGAGATGGGGACCAAGACTCTTGTAAAGAAATAAGAAATATTTAGGAGGGAACTTTTCTATCCCTTGACAACAACCAGAAGGAAAATGATGTCCCTGCCTGGAGAAAAAGCAAGAACCAGCTCTCCTGTGATCCTTCTCTTCTTAGACAGCCTAGAACTACATGAATTTTTGGCTTCAACAGCAGAGAGTAGATTGACATTAAGTGGGAACCCTCAAGCATAGAGGGTGTCAGTATAATTGGTGTAAACTCCTTCAATAATTCCAGTTCCCGTCTGCTATTTTTTTCCACTCACCACCAACCCATCTGCCTTCTGAATGGGGACTCTCATGTCTCATGTTCAGGGTCCTTCCCACACATCCTTGGTTGAAACCTACTTCATCCACAGGGGTCCATCCGACCTCCACTAAGAGGCCTTAAGCCACTGCTTTGGGGGGGCCATGTGGAGACATCATTGAAAACAGGTCTCAACCTGCATGACAGGCAGGGGTGTCCATGATGAAATGGGGCTTCCTGATGAGAACCAACTCAGGTCCCCATGATCTTTGATAACTAGTCCCCACCCTTGGGCTCCTAAGGCTGTGGCCATAGGTCTGAAGTCTAATTTCTTTCTTCTCACACACATAGCCTCTCTCAGCACTCACTCTGGCCTCCTCCATGCTGTGAATTCAGAACCACCATCCAGCTTTCCATCCCAGGAATCCATCACTAACTGCCTGGAAGCTTTTCTTTGTCAATGCACCCTCTGATGGGGACTTGGCTGGATGGGTCAGCAGTTCCCCTTCAAAAACAACTGAGAGTGGAAGGGAAACCTGCCAACCTATGTTGGTGTTGAGAAGACCAATGTAATCCCCAATTCTGTCTTTTTTTATCTTTTCTTGTCTGTTTCTTGACCACAGTTCTATTTTAATGACCCTTGGAGGAAGGAGGATTTCAGGAGAACAAGAGACTGTTTTGTGCTAAGGATATAAAAAGAGAAATGGAGACAGAGAAAGCAGAGTTCTTAAACTCTTCAAAATGAGTTGGTTTCTCTCGCCATGGGCATAGCATGACTAAGAGGCCAGGGAGGGCATAACTTACTGCGGTTTCCAACCTTTTGCCTTTGACTCCCCATAAACATATGATAATTGCTGTCCTCTCCTAAAGAGCAGATCGAAGGCCCCACTGGGCTCTTCCCCATACCTGTCTTTTCTATACAAGTTAGATTAATTTTAGAAGCAAATGAAAATAGTGAGAGCAATGGCTTTAGCAATAACAAGAGGTCTGAATGTTGGAGCTTGTAGAGTGCAGCAGCTCAGTGACAGCAGAAAGGATCCAGGTTCTTTCTATATTTCTGCTTTGCCACCTTCATCACATTAGCTTTTCAATCTTGCGCTTAATGCCTCATGATCTCAAGAGGGCTGCCCCAGCTCTGAGCACCATGTCCTCTCATTAACTCTTCCAGGAAGAAATGTAAGGCAAAGCTCTTCACTTCCCCTCTATTTTGAAGGCTCAAAATCCTTTGGAAAACACTGCCTC